CAGAGGAGCCAATCAGTTGGCAGCTAGAAGTTTGCTGGGGCCGCTATGAGCCAGTCATCAGCTGGCAGCTGGAAGTTTGCTGGGGCCCCTTCGGCTGTGGCTCTCAACAGAACCTAGGGGTACTTAACCACTGAGCCACATCCCCAGCACTTTTTAATATTTCATTTTGAGACAGGGTCTCACTGAGTTGCTTAGCACCTCACTTTTGCTGAGGCTGGCTTTGAACTAGGCCATCCTCCTCCCTCAGCCTCCCAAGCCACTGGGATTCAAGGCATGCTCCACAGTACCCGGCAACTTATATATTATTTTTAAACTTGTATTCTGCAACAAAATATGGAGACATTGGGGCAACAGAGCAACTCAGACTTCTCTGCGTCACTGTGCCTTTTGCTGGCTGAAGTAGCTAGTGGCAGCCCACCATGTGCTATCTTAGATGGACTACCTTTCAGTAAGTTGTCTTCTCTGGATACCTAGATACATATTCAAGCTGCTTTGCCTATAGGGATGGGTATCTTAGGTAATTCCCAGACTGCTTTGCTAGAGACTGTGGCATAAGAAGGAAGAAGATTCCCCTTGGTGTCTTTGTCAATCTGCCTCATTCAAAAGAGGCTAGCCTGTTTGGACTGTTTAACTATTGCCTTGGTACTTCCTGTGTCAGTCTGGGGGCTTCCTGTGTGTGTAGCATTGTTCTGTATAGGCTGCCTGCTGGTCATGTGTCTGATGTACCCAGTTTGGGGTCTTTTTGGTTTCTCTGATGTGGTAGTATTCAGCCTGCAGTGAAGTGGCACAGGTCTTGAGGTGAAGTTTGCTAAGCTGCAAGGCAAGCACCTTCCTTGACTACAAACATACAGGAGTCTTATCCTCTGCTGAAGCCTGTAGGTGGCTCAGGTTTTCATCTATCAACTTTTCTGATGCAAATTTGCTTTCAAACCTAGATGTTGGAGGTAGAAATGTTGGAGTCATCCATATAAGGCTTTGGGATGAATACCCTTGCATTAGCCTCCTTTGCATGTCTGGTACTTTCTTCTCCACACACCAACCTTTTCACCTAGGGGCTGTTTTGCAATTTAAGGGTTAATAAGTGTTCTGGCAAAAATCAGTGTCCACAGAGTTCTGTGGACTCAGAATCTCTGTGTTTGCTCTTGTTTTATCTTTCCAGCTCTGTGGGCTCATCTCTCTAGACTTGTGAATTTTTGAGGCCAAGATAAAAATGCTTCAGTTTAAATAGATAGTTATTACACACATGAGTTTTTTTTATATGCTGAGCACTATTCTTTGTGCCATTTGTATTAGGCCTTGAAAGTTGGGACAGCGATTGTGGTTTAACGGGAAGACTATGAGATTTGGATCAGAAGATTCATAGTCTCTGTGATCTTTAGACAAGTTATTTCTGAGTTTCAGTTTCTTCACCTTCAAGGTAGAGATGGTAAAAACATTAGTACATTTTTCAAAGGTCCTTGTGAGGATTAAATAGGATGAAAAGAAAGTTCTTTTTTTTCACAATACTTGCATTGATTTATTTTTATGTGGTGCTGAGGATTGAACCCAGGACCTCACATGCACTAGGCAAGTGCTCTACTGCTGAGCCACAAACCTAGCCCCAAAAGAAAGTTCTTTTTTAAAAATGTTAATTTAGATGTCAATTGACCTTTATTTTGTTTATTTACATGTGGTGCTGAGAATTGAACCCAGTGCCTCACACATGCTAGGCGAGCACTCTACCACTGAGCCACAACCCCAGCCCGGAAAAGAAAGTTCTTTGCAAATGATAAAGCACCACACAGATGGTGGTTCTTAGTAGAGATGGAGATGGCGGTCACTCTAGGCCATGGGAGAAGAGATTGTGCTGAGACATGTGGGGAATCATGGTTTGTGTTCAGGAAATATCTTTGTTGCCTTTGACCAAAGTGGAAATGGTAGCTGGAAATAGAGGTTGGAACCAGATAGAAATGAGCTTTGAATGCCAGGCCAAGCAGTCAATGAAAAGGCAGAGGGTAACATTCTGGAATGTGGCCTAGGAAAATGAATCTGGAGGGATGTACATAATGGGATTAGAAGAAAGTCTGGCAGTAAGGAACAGTTGGAGGAATACTGTTGAATTGAGGCATCAAGGGGATGATGGGAATTTGAATTAGGGAGGTGACAGTGAGGTTGGGAAGGAGCAGCTGCCTGGAAAAGCCTTTGGGAAGGAAATATTAGTGTGTCTCTGTGCTGATTTAAACATGGGGTAAGGGAGGAAGAAATGAGTTAAAAATACCTCTGTGTGGGGCTGAGGTTGTGGCTTAGTGGTAGAGCACTTACCTAGCATGGGTGGGGCACTGGGTTCAATCATCAGTGCCACATAAAGATAAATAAATGAAGTTATTATGTCCATTTTCAACTAAAAAAAATCTTTAAAAATGCCCTCTGTGGTTTTCAACCAGTTATAACAGAAGTTTGATATTTGAACAAATTCTACTGGAGATAGACTACATGTGTTAGTCACTTGGAAATTTGTATTGGGCAGTTGTAAATTCAGAACTAGATCTTAGGAAAGAGCTCAAGACTGCAGCTACAGGTATGGAGAATCAGTCTTTTTGAGGTTGAAACTGGGCCTCCCACTTCTTGAGAATGTGCCAAGTGTGAAAAGAAAAGGGTACGAATGGAAACTTGGGAAATGCCCTCATCAGAGGAGCTAGAAGAAGGAGCAGCAGCAAGTTTTCAAAATTGCTCTTAGTCTGACCTTTACGCATGCATTTCTTCTATTCCTTTACCTATACAAAAGTCAGTTGAATTTGCCTTTACAGGAAATCTATGTGCAAAATACCTGGATGTTTCTTACGTGACCTTGAAAAGTCAAAGAAATATTCTGGAAAGAATTTCAAGCAAAATAAGGATGAGTTGGTTCAGAAAATCTACCAACTGTTTAACAGCACCGTCTTTGATCAGAAGGTATAATTGATAAATGAGCATTTATTGAGTATCTGCTATATGCCAGCATTCTAGGGTGCACCACATAGTGTACTGACAATGTATACTACTGCCCTTGAGAAATGTCAGTTTGGGTGGGGAGATGAGATGTCCATTCATGAAAGAAATAGAGAATGATTATGGGTTATAATGTATGGGACGTATGGTTGTTACTACAGGACATCAGCAGACAGAAATGGCTGAGACTGAGTGGCCAGGAAATAGGATTTCCTGGAGGAAGTAGGCTCCTGGTTCTTGAAGGATGGTAAGTAATGAGAACAACAGTGCTGAGGGAGCAAGCCTGTGTTGTGGCTTGACAGCCTCCAAGAGAGGGTTCCTGTTGAATGATTATGGGAAAGAGTAGTGTGAGTTGGGCAAGTTACTTAACCTCAGTTTGTTTCTTCATCTGTAAAATGGGGACAATAACAGTATAGTCAGCCCCTATATCCCTGGAAGATTGGTTCCAGGAACCCCCAACAAATACCAAATATGCAGGTGCTCAAAATCCCTTATATAAAATGGCAAAATATTTGCATGTAACCTATGTACATTCTCCCATAGATTTTAAATCTTCTCTGTATTACTTATATAATACCTAATGCAATATAAATAGTATGTAAATAATTGTTACGCTATTTAGGGAATTAGGACACATGGAAAAAATCTCTACAAGTTTAAAATAGGTGAAATTTTTAAAAATATTTTCAATCTATGGTTGGTTGAAACTGTGGATACAAAACCCACAGATCAGAGGACCAAATGTACTTACTACCTCCAAATTATTGTAAGACAAAAGTTTGTTTTTATTCTCTCTCTCTCTCTCTCTCTCTCTCTCTCACACACACACACACACACACACACACACACACACACACACATACACACACACAGTACCTAGAACAGGGCCCAGAACATAGTAAGTAGGCTCTTTTTTTTTGATCATGAAGAACCAGATAATGGAAAGCCTTGAAGATCAGGTTGGGGGACTTTAAATTTAAATCAGTAGGCACTACTCACTGCACAGGATATGGTGTGACATGTAGAAGCTACTGAAAGACATTAATCTGACAGTATAGTCTTGAGATATGGGCTGGATTGGAAAGAATTTGGATGCAGAGACCTGTTGGTCATTCAGGGGTTTTGGTATTGTTTTGATTTTTTGGTTTCTGAGGTTTTGTTTTTGTTTTGCAGTGCTGAGGATGGAACCCAGGGTCTTGGACATGCTAGACAAGCACTCTACCACTGAGCTGCACCCCCATCCTTAGATCATTAGGTTTTTAGGTTTTATTGTATTTGGTGACAAGACTTACCAGAGGGAAGTTCCAATATCCTAAAGGTTCCCCAGCCTTTGATGTTCTTCCTGATGACAGTGGTGGTATTTCAGATGAGCAGAGCCTGATGTATCCTGAGTTGCATTGTTCTTTCTGGGTGCTCCTATGCACAGATTTCCGACTCACCTCAGCACGCTTACATCCCTCTCCTTAGCTGCCCCTGACTTGTCTCTGCACAGGCGAGCACAAACCCTATATGCACATGTTCTCAACATTCTCTCTTGTCTTGATCACCTATTAATTATCTTTACCTGGACTGCAACTTGACTTTCATTCTCCCAGAATGTTTAGATTTGCATGCCCATTGAATAGATTTCTCCCCAGTTTACTTAGCATCAAGAATCTGGGGGAGAAACTTCCTCTTACTTTGGATTAGAGGGAGAAAAACTCCTGAGGTCATATTTTCTGGTCTGCTTAGAACTGCTTTCTGATTCCTTTCATTTGCCTTTTATTTTCAGATGCCAGAGAAAATAGAAATCACCTGGAATAAAAAGATGCTGAGAACTGCTGGCTTGTGCACCACTAGTGAGACACGACACCCCAAAAGGGAGTGCTATGCCAAGATCAAGATTTCTCTGAAAGTCTGTGACTCTGCAGGTGATGGCAGGAGTATGGGAGCCTTACTGCAGTGCTCTCTCTTTTTGACATTGCACCTGTTAATTACTCTTAGCTGGCAGCCTGTGTCAAGTTGAACTGCCATTCTTGGGTGAACAAACCTACCATATGTTGCTTGGGGGATATTACTATTGTATGCCTCATCATTCCTGAGAATCCAACTGATCAATCTACCAAGCCTACCTTTCTGTCTACATTTTCCACTTGCCAGAGGCAGCGTCTCTATTTTCTCACTAGGTGAGGTTCCTGATCCCCCTATATATAGCCAATTACCAAATCTTCCTTCATCTTGACTCTCCTGTTGTCATTCCTTTTCCATCTCTGCCTCCACCCAGGTATGGGTCCATATCCCCTCATTCTTTTCCTTGCTGCATTCAGTCTCCTGCACACCACTATGTTGCTTTCCTAGTAGGAAACCCAGGGCTTTTCAATGCCTAGAGACTGACTTTTGAGGCCATTGTAATCTGCCCTCACTCCACTTAACTGGTCCTGTCTCTCACTATTCCACTACTAGCTCATGCTCCAACTGGGATTTCTTCTCAGCCCTCAAAATGTACCACATGCTTTCTCGCCTCAACCTTTGCTCCTTTCACCTTCCCTCCCAATTGCTTTGCTAGCTTTGTGAATCCAATCATTTGTCAAGGGCTCAGCTCAGATCCCAATCTTGCTATGGAATTTCTAACCAAATCCCAAGGCCCTAAGGATTACTCCCCCTCCCCAACCCTGGTCACTTATGTTCCCCGAGGACAGAAACCAAGTCTTGTCCAGGTGTATCTTTAGCAACACCCCACAAAAAGATGAACACGTCGGAGCTCCTCCAAAAAGACCTGCTCACCTAAGGCTCTCTGTCATTAACAAAATCGGGTTGAAGTAGGCGGAAGTTTCACTTTCAGAATCCTGGGAAGGTAACACTCATGACTGCCTGTGAATACTTATGTAAGATGGCTTTGTGTCTAGTGGTGGTAAAAGTTGAAGGGTTGGGTAGCAGATCAGAAGCAAATTGGTTTTAGTGCTCACAGTTTCTTTTCAATCTTTTTCCAAGACCGCCTCCGTGATACTTTGATCCATGAAATATGCCATGCAGCTTCCTGGCTGCTTGATGGTGTCCGAGATTCTCATGGTGATGCATGGAAGTATTATGCAAGAAAATCCAATGCGGTGCACCCCGAGCTGCCCAGGGTCACTCGGTGCCATAACTATACAATTAACTACAAGATTAATTATGAATGTACTCAGTGCAAAACCAGGTAAGACCTTTCCCCTCAGACTTTCCAGTCTGGCCTCTAAGTGGCTCTTGTAGTGACTATAGGAATAAATCGAAGGGTGTCTGATTTGAAGAGTGAACCTATTTCTTTCCATGTTCTCTTTCTCGATTCCCTATTCCTTTTTTTCTTTTTTGTTTTGTTACTGGGGATTGATTCCAGGGACACTTTACCACTAGGCTACATCCCCAGCCCTTTTTTAAAAAATTTTGAGACAGCATCTCACTAAGTTGCTTTGTGCCTTGCTAAGTTGCTGAGGCTGGTCTCAAACTTGCCATCTTCCTGCCTCAGCCTCCCAAGTCACTGAAATTACAAGAATGTGCCACCACACCGAGCCCTTATTCCTGTATTCCTGTTTCTGTCCCCTAACCTTCTCTATATTACTCTTATCCCTAATTTGAGCTAGCCCAACCCCTCTGCTGCTTGTGGCCCCATTCTCTGAGAACCTACAGGAAATTTTCTCTTTGGGCCCAAGGCTAACATCTCAGAGCTAATGCTGAGGTACAGTGACTGATTTCTTTGTTGTATGATGTCCCTTTTCTCACTAGGGTTGGCCGCTACACCAAATCGTTGAACACAGAACGCTTTATCTGTGCCAGATGCAGAGGGCCCCTGGTCATGCTGCCATTAACTCGTAAAGATGGAACCCCCATTGAACCCCATGTGAGACCATTTGCCAAATATGTGCAGGAGAATTACCGAGTGGTGTTTCAAGGGACAGCTGGGATCAGCCATGGGGATGTGATGAGAAAGCTCAGCAAGGATTATGTTGCCAGTAAACAAAAGAAGAATCCTTAGAGTATGTTTGTATGAGCTGAATCCTTTTCTGATGAAAAGTTTTAGAAAAAAGTCTCTATTATTGTGAAGTTATGAATATTAGAGTTTAAATACATGTTTTAAGATTCTTGTTATTCATGATTATTGTTCTTAACTAAGGGTTCTACTGCTAGTTATTTTGTCCAGGACCATACCCTGAAACACTCCGGATCCACCTTGGGTCTTATTTTGAAAGCAAGTTTTAAAATGTAGAAGAAAATAGAGAAGAAAAATGAGTTTTTGAGAGTGGCAGGTTGAGAGAATGAAAAGGATACTGGGAAGAGAACAAGTTTTAAAAGCAGCAGTTTACACAGGACTGTTGTCAGATGTAACCTGCTAAACCCACCTAGACAGAAAAGACAAACATGTTGTTGAATTCAATTGCTGATGACATTGAGTGAAGCTGTCAAGCTGTATAATTATTCAACAAATAAAATGTTTTTGCATCTCACTCATTAGCAAAGTCTGTCTGTTATCTCATTTCTGTTAATGCCCATATGTTCTTCAGCAGACTCCCTATTTCTGAGAGATGTCCAGGATGTGGACTGGAACCAACATTGTATTCGTTTCCTCTGGCTACCACAACAAAGTACCATAAACTTAGTGGCTTAAAGCAACACAAATGTATTATCTTATAGTTCTAGAGGTCAGAAGCCTGCAATGAATCATCCTGGACTAAAATCAAAGTGTCAACAGGGATATGCTCCTTTCTGGAGGCTCTGGGGAAAATCAATTTCCTTGTCTTTTCAACTTTTACATGTCAGCATATTCCTTGGTTTGTGGCCCCTTCCTCCATCTTCAGAGCTAGCAACATTTCTCTCACTTTCTGCCTTCCTCAAACTTTTAAGGACCTTATGGTTACATGGGTCCTCCTAGATAATCTAGGAGAATCTTCTTATTTTAAAGTCAGCTGATTAGCAAACCTAATTTCCTTTCACCATGTAAGGTAACCTATTCACAAACAGGATTGGATCATGGTTGTCTTGGTGGGGCCCATTTCTAATCCTGCCACAAATATCTTGCACTACTGATATTTCTTATAAGCAGGATATGTTATTTTGACATTTCCCTTTGATTTTTGCAGAGGCTTAGAGTATTCTCTTAGTGGTCACAAACCCCCAACTGTGGCTAGATGTGATTGGAGGTGTACCTAGGTTAGGACAAGCTTCCCCAACTAACTGCTTGGATTTTTCCTCTCTATCCCTGTCTCTAGCCTTATCTGCAGTCTCAGAAAGGGCCCAACTGACCTGTCAAACTGGGTCATGGCACATCAGTGACTTCATTGAGATGAACTGGTAGTGCAATGGGTCTATCCCTTCACTCTCTTCCTTAATAGCTCTGTTGATCGCCCTTCTGGGAAGCTCCAGTTAATTTTTCCTTCAATCCCAGAGGCAGCAGTGGAAAAATGCTCCCAGTGCTGATGACTGTTTTCAAGTCATCTTTTGCTTTCCTATAGGCTCACTGCCATTTCCCTAGTAAGAACCTGTATCACCTCTCATGTCTCCTGAATAACCAACATAGCTTTCTGACTGGACTATGATACCACCACCTGATCCTGAACTACCTTCCAGTCTTACTTTCAACCTTTCTCCATCCAAACCCTTAACTCTAGCCAGCCAAAACCAATAGCTTCACTGTTTTTAGCTGTCTCACCTTTGCTACTGCCCTTCCTTCTGCATAGAAATGCTGTCTCTCTACTTTATCCTTGAAAATACTAGTTGCCCTTTAAGTCCTCAGAAAACCTTCCCAAATGCTTCCAACATTTGTATGCTAAGCCCTGGATTCACTATGTGTCACTACTCCCTTACATCATGGTATAGAAGGCTTGGTATTGCTAGCTCTTAACACATCTTCTCTGCTGGCTTGAGCTTCTGGAGTACAGGGACTATGTCTTATTAACACTTAGTGATCCCTTTTCCAAATTATATAGCCAGCTGCCACCCAGGTCACTAAGGGTGTACACCAGCACCACTAGGCAATATGGGGCCTAGCAGAGACCAAAAGAATACCCAGGAGAACAGAGAAAAGGCCACAGAAAGACATTAACAAAGGCAGGCTGAGTCGGCATTGACCCTGGGCCAGGAGGGGAGAAATGGAATATATTCTTAAGCCCAGTCAGGGGTATCTTTTTGTTGTTGTTGTTCCAGGGATTGAACCCAGAGGTGCTTAATCACTGAGTCACATCCCCAGCCTTTTAAAAAATATTTTATTTAGAGATGGTCTCGCTGAGTTGCTTAGGACCTTGCTAAATTGCTAAGGCTGGCCTTCAACTTGCAATCCTCCTACCACAGCCTCCCAAGCCACTGGGATTGTAGGTGTGTGCCACTGTTGCCCAGCAGGGCTGTCCATATTGACGACTACTTCCACATTCTGGTCCTGATTATCATGTTTATTGAAAAGTTTTAAGCAGGATTTTAGATATAAAAATAAAAGCAAAGACAAGTCTTGGGGACCACAGACAGCCACAGTTGTTGCTCAGCCATGGCCCCATGGGGTAGCATCCTGTTCCCCTTTTACTCTGGGCACATAGAGAAGGCCAATTTCTACTTGTTGAATTAGGAGGGCAGTGGGGCTCCAGCAGCCACCTCTCAAGTGGCAGGATGGGGGTTGGCAGCTATGGAACAGCAATGGTGACCGAGTGGTGCTGAGGCTGCCCGTAAGTCCCAGGGATGAGGTTATGAGGAGAATCAGAGCCAGCCCAGCAGCGAGAGAGGGAGAAGCCTGGATAAGAGCCAGGCTGCATGTGCCAATGGGGAACTCCCATTGCAGCCTCACAACCCTACATAGGAAGCCTCTGTGGTCTCAGACCAAGATGAATCCCGGCGGGAAGATGATGGCTGCCTCTGGAGCCTTCTCTGGACAGGGCAGCCCAGGCGCATGAGCAGTATCCACATATGCTCACGGAACTTGACACCCACAAAGGCATAGAGCAATGGGTTGAGGCAGCAGTGCATGTAGCCCATGCCTGAGGTGATTGACTTGGCCACGTCCACATGGCTTTCACGGCCACAGTTGCGGGCCAAGGACCCCAGGTCCATGAGAGTGTCCACCAGCACCACCAGGTGATAAGGAGTCCAGCATAGGGCAAAGGCCACCACCACCACCACCACTAAGCGCATGGCTCGAAGGCGTCTCTGTCCTCTGGAGACCAGGAGCACAGCCAGGATGCGGGCATAGCAGTAGGCCATGACCAGCAGGGGCAGCAGGAAACCTGCCACCAGCTGCAGCCCGCGCAGAGCTGTGCGGCCGACTGGTGGGAAATTGTACTGGCAGTGGGTGGCATTGAGACGCTTGTCATGACTGGCTGACAGGAAGATGAAGTCTGGGAGGGCAAAAAGCAGACAGAGCCCCCAGACAACTATACAGGTAAGGGTCACGCGGGCTCTGGGCCCCCTGCGGTAGAGCTGGGTAGCATGCACTATGCTCAGGTAGCGGTCAAAGCTGATGCAGGCCAGCAAGAGGGCCCCAGCATAGAAGTTGATGTTGAAGAGGGCACCTGCCACTTTGCAGAGGCCGGAGCCGAAGACCCACTGGACAGCAGCATCCACTGCCCAGAGTGGGAGTGTCAGCACCAGCAGGGCGTCAGCCACAGCCAGGTGGAGCAGGAAGGTATCGGTGCTGCAGAGGGCTGCCCTCTGGCTCAGTAGCACAGCTGCCACTGCACCATTGCCCAGAAGCCCCAGCAGAAAGAGAAGGCTGTAGAGGACGGGCAGGAAGGCTCGGTCGAAGTTCAAGCTGAAGTCCTGTGGGCAGGGCTGATAATCACAGCAGGAGTTACTCTCATTTTCTCCATAGTAATAGGGATAGGTACAGTTTTCCAGGAAAGAGGCAAAGTCTGAGGCACCCAGCACTTGATGTTCACTCACCTGTCAAAGGAGGGAGGAGAGAAGGGAGGTTGGCACCATTATGTAAAGACCTGACCACAGCTGCCCCTTCATGATGTGTGTGTGTGTGTGTGTGTGTGTGTGTGTGTGTGTGTGAGAGAGAGAGAGAGAGAGAGAGAGAGACAGACAGACTAGGGATTGAACCCAGGTATGTTCTACCACTGAGCTACATCCCCAGCCCCTTTTAATTTTTTTGAGACAGGGTCTCACTAACTTGCCTAGGCTGACCTCCAACTTCCAGTCCTCCTGCCTCAGTCTCCTGAGTTGCTGAGATTAAAGGCAGACACCAATATGCCTGGTCCCCATTGTGACTTTTGATTTAGTCTGATCAGCATTTCTCTGAGCAGCACCTCTGGGAGGCAAGCTCTGAGGCCTGCTGCTACCTTTCTTCTAGGGCCACTCTTCCAGAACTTTATCTGCCCAGCCTGTGCTCTGGGATGGTGACTTCCATTCTCAAAGGTTGTTCTTTACTCTTCTGGGGTCATTCCATGGGGGCCATAGATCCTGGGCAGGAGGAAGAGTTTCCCTCAAGTGCCCAGAGCCCTCCCGGCTACTTTCCTCTCTGTCTTTTCAGACTCCCTTCATGACTTGCCAACCTCAGTGCTGTGGCCACACCTAGTTTAACCACCTGCCTCCCAGGCACCTCCCTCCCCCATCCTTTCTCTCAGTCACTTGCCATTGTCTCCTCAGCTCTTATCTGAGGACCCCAACTTCCTGCCTCCTTATGGGGTCTCTCTTCAAATCACTGCACCACTCCCCATACCTGATTTCTGCCCCGTGCTTCCTCTCCCCTACACAGAGGCTTTCAAACCCAATTTAGCCACCTACCAGTAGTCAGTCACCAAGTGGAGTTCCCAACCAAATTTCAGCAGGAATTTTCCTTCCCTCCCTCCTCCCTCACTCCCTCTTCCCTCTTTCCCTTCCTTTCTTCTTTTCTTCTTAGGAGATAGGATCTAGCTAAGTTGCCCAGGCTGGACCTGAACTCCTGGATTCAAGTGATCTTCCTGCCTCAGCTCCCCAAGTAGCTGTGACACAGGGGTGTACCACCACACCCAGCTAACAGAAATCTTTTTTACCCTTCACTCGTACCCTAAAGCACTCCAGAGTTGCAGGCCTCCCTGGTGCCAATTCAATCCAGCTCACAAGAGCCTAAGTTCCAAGTCAGAGATGAAGGGAATCTTAGAAGTCTTCAAGATTGAGCCTCTACTGCCCTCACCACCCCAATTTTGCTGAATAGGTACCCAAGCCAGAGGGGAAGAGACTTGCCTGTGGTCAGTCACCAAGTTGAGTTCCCAATTCCCTGTCTAGTGTACCTATCAAATCTCCTACCACCTCTATCTGTTCGCCTAGCCCTCTGGTGCCCCTGCATTGTAGCTGTGGGCCAACTCTGGCCTATCCCTAGTGCCCTGGGTTCCCCACTCCAAGGTATGGACTGGCCATATTGGGCAGCAGCACTTACCTCAGGGACCATGGCTGGGTTGGTGCTCCGGCTGCTTGGTTGCGTGCTGCCTGCCCGTTTGCTTTGGTGCTTGTGGTTGGGAACGTGCAGTGCACAGAGGAAGTGAGTGTTTCAGGGTTCTCAGTGCAGCCTCTTCCAGAGGGTTATCTATACCAGACCTCCCTGGACCCCAGGCCACAGAGATCCTGCTCCAGCCATTCCTGAGGCTGAGTGAAACCACTCTGGAGGAACTGTCTGCAAGTCTGGGACCAGAAAGTCTGGGCCCTAGGGAAGGGCAGAGGGTAGCTGGGTAGGAGCAGATCCTTTAAGTGGAGAGACCTGAAAGAGAAGCCATGCAGTGGGGAAGTGGAGGGCAACCCTGCTCACAGATGCAAGATTTGCCCCTTCTTCTGGTCAATGCTCAATAAATTAGAATACCCATTCCTCCATCCTGGGCTGGAGTTGATCTTTGCAAGATTGTACAGACTGAATTGCTAAATGTGTTATTTGTAAAGAAGATTCGCTTTCTCGAAAAATTAAAATATTTTAAAGAAATCCTTCACACTAAATCTAGTTCTTTGCCATCACCCCACCCTGCTCATCAACAGGGGAAAGGAAAAGGAACCGCTAGGGACAAACTTGCTGTGTGCTAGACATTGCTAATTTAGGTGCTTTCTCTGATGCTGCCTCATTCCAACCATGCAAGTCCCTTGTGAGGTAGTGGGTTGTCCCATGGATGATTCAGAAAGGAAACATTGTCATCAGACATGGCAAGTAAGGGTGGGTGTGGGGAATGAGCCCACATAGCTAACTCTCCTTTTTAATTTTTTTTTTTTACTTTTATTTTAGTTTTTGGTACCGGGAATTGAATTCAGGGGCACTTGACCACTGAGCCACATCTTCAACCCTATTTTGTATTTTTTTTTTTTTAATTTAGTGACAGGGTCTCACTGAATTGCTTAGTGGCTCGCTTTTGCTGAGGCTGCCTTTGAACTCAGGATCCTCCTGCCTCAGCCTCCCATCTCCCTGGGATTACAGGCATATGCCTAAATCTTCCTTTTACCACTTATTTTGCTGTGTTCAGTTTCTTTTAAATGATAAACTGAGATATTCATGCAGCTAAAAATGAGTGAAGTAAAGCTACATTTTTTTTAACATGGATATATCTAGAGAAACCAATGCCCACATGGTGGAAGAAGCAAGTAAGAGAATATTGTGTTTAGTTGGACACCACTTATAAGTACATTCTAGGAACCACCACACAAAGCAATGCCATATTGTTTTGGATATGGCTACTTGTTCTCAAAGTTTAAGACAGAGACTGGAGACACCACAAATTCATGAGAGCAGTTACTTCCAGTGTATGAAGAATGGGGTAGGGGAGGCTGGGTTTGTGTGGCTCAGTGGTAGAGTGCTTGACTAGCATATGTGAGGCCCTGGGTTCGATCCTAAGTACCACATAAAAATAAATAAATAAATAAATACAGCTATTAAAAATATTTTTAAAAAAGAATGGGGTTGGGAGGAGTTCTGATAAACTGTAAGACAGCTTCATAGTGCACAGTGTTAGAACAATTTCTCTCCCACCTTCTTGGAACTTTCCCCTTCTTCTCTTCTCCCCTACCTATTGCCCTTCTCATTATCAGCAAGCAAGGGTGCCCCTAAGTTGCCTCACCCCAGCATATTCTTCTTTCCCTCTCTTCCCCAAATGCTAGCTCATGACCTTTGGGGCCCCAGCTTTTAACCTGATTTCTCCTCCAAAGCCTTCAGGCACGTGCCTGAAATTCAGTTCAAGTTCATTGACATGATGCACACTTGTCAGGTATCAAAGTTCTCCCCTTCTTCAGTACACAGGTGTGGACTCTGTTTTCCCTAAAACAGCTTATCACTTACAGGGTTCAGGTCAAAAGGATCTGAAGCTCTGAGGTAGGTCAGGAGCAGTGGAAATGGAGGAAGCCAGGAGAATTTCTGAAGCTAGGCCAGTTAGGATGAGTAGGACTTGGCAAGTGACTGCCTATGGAGAGAAAAGGGATGGGAGCTGGGATCACGATTTCCCAATGCTGGTCTGTGAAGGGGTTTAGGTTATTGGGTTTCCACAAATAAGAATAATGACTCCAAAAGGCTATATTTGTTCTTTTTAAAGGATTTAGTCTGTATTATGTTTTCATCTCTTTTCTAGTATTAAGAGGATGTTTATTTTATGCAAAAATGATGGCAAAAACAGATGGTCATTCTGGAAATATCTTGCATTGGCAGACGATGGCAATCCAACATGGGTCCTCCAAATAAATATTGGAATATTATTGGTCTGTGTGAAATATTAAGGTCTAGGGATCCCTGGTCCCCTTTCTGGGCCCCAGTCTCCTCATCTGTGATATTGGGATGATACACCTTCTCAGGTTGCTGGGAAGGATACCTGGGAGAAGGTCAGGGGAAGAGTTTTGGACAGAGAACTTTCCTTTCTGAGTCCCAACATCCTGATGCTGGGTCCTTATCAGCCAGTCTGAGCTCTTGCTGCTCCTGGGCTGACCTGTGTGACTGTGACACAACGGAAAGAACACTGAATTTGTCTGGACTCAAGCCCTGACTCCACCCAGTTTGACCTTGGACAAATTGCAGAACCATCTTGAGCCAGTTTCCTAGGTGAGATTATTACAAGGTGAACTGACTTAACTAAAGCCACAGGCTCCAACCACAGAGCCAAGTGCTTAGTAAGGGCACAATGCTGAGTGAGTGGGACACTGGCCACAGACCTAGAGCTACTGGGAGCCTTTCATGCTAGGGTAGCCCACAATTGAGAGTGGTACCTTAAGAGGTGTGCAGCCATGGTCAGAGGGCTGGTCTTCCAGAAAGGCTGCCCCTCAACCTTGGTTGGGAGTCAGAACAATTCTCCAATCCTAGTCAAGTCCTTTAGCTGACCAGCTGTGTGATCCCAGGCAAATAATTTAATCTCTCTGCCTCAGTTTCCTCATCTGAAAATGGTTTCTATGATTGTATGCATTTGATAGTGTTTCTCTGTGGACTGCAAACAATATGGGTAGAAAGTGTCTAGTACAGGGTAGGTGCCCAGCTGTTTGCACCCACTCTAGTAACTTTCCAAACCAAGCCATCTAAAGCCTCAGAATAGATCTGTGGTGGTCTTCCGCTGTCATTCACAGCTAACGTGTCTTGGAAAGTTCCTGTGTCATGGCAATGAACCAAGCCTTTGTCTGGCCCTCTTATTCTGTTTGTCCTTTCCAGTTACAAGAAGCCCCCAGACCAGGTCAGAGCCAGGCCCAACCCTTGGGGAGTTCGGGCTGAAGCCCTCCTGCTTCTGTCCTCCCTAGCAGCCATGGGGAAGCCTGAGGAGGAAGTTAGAGTGAAGCTGTGGGCCCCACCTGTGGTCAAGGTGTGAAATGTGCACCTGCTCTTCTGCCACACCTCCCCCTGTTATTTTCATTCTTTCACACCTCTGGGCTGTGGTTTGGGGAGATGGAAGGCTTAGAGATCTAAACTCTGGGCCTAGTCCCTCACAGGAAGGAGGGCCCCTACAGCTGTCTACCCAGCCAGCCTGCCTGCCAGGGACAAGGGCCAGCCATTTCCTCCTTTCTACCTTGGTCTTCTGCTTCACAGTCTCTTTCAAAACTCCTCAAAATTCCTCATGGGATTTTGACCCATGGACTTGACTGCCAGCCATAGCCCATCAAGCTCAGGCAGTGGTCCAGACTAGAACTGAGCCTTTTTTTGGGGGGGGGGGCGGGTACGAGGGATTGAACTCAGGAGCACTCGACTGCTGAGCCTCATCCCCAGCCAAATTTTGTATTTTATTTAGAGACATGGTCTCACTGAATTGCTTAGCACCTCGCTTGTGCTGAAGCTGGCTTTGAAATCACTATCCTCCTGCCTCAGCCTCCTGAGCAGCTGGGATTACAGGCATGCACCACTGAGACAGGCACTCTACCACTAAGCCACAACCTCAGCCGCTACCTCAATGATTTTTGGAGTTGAGCCGTTTTTATGTGAAATGTCCCAGCCTCAGGCAGGGGGGCAAACTTAAGACACTGCTGAGACTCTGAGCTTCCTTCTGCTGGCCGTAAATTTCCAAATAATTTAATCTCTCTGCCTCAGTTTCCTCATCTGAAAAAGGTTTCTCCTTTCTAAGGAAAGGAGAGCTCAAATAACAGAGATGTCCAGGGACTGGGGACTACCCCTTCCTCAGCCCTACATTGTGTATCTCTGGATCCTCCTGGGACTCAAGCCCTAAGTGCTGGTGCCCTGGAGGGAGCTTTAGCAATGTCTGCTTCTTGCATTCCCTTGTACTTTCCCACAGGATGAGGTCCAGCAGGCTAATAGAACAGGTAACATCTACTGACTACTTAACTTTGTGAGGGTACTGTTCTGTTTTATCAGGATGAACTCATACCCATGCAGTAACTGTAAGGTTATCATTCCCATTGTACAGAACACAAACACAGGCAGTTTAGGGAGCTTGTTCAAAGTCACACAGCTAAGTGGCAGAGTCCCTGCATTCCTACCCATTATACCATAACACCTTGTGGGATTGGAAGGACTGGGATTGAATAGTTCAAAGAGAACTACTTTTGCCTTATCTGTAATGTTTTACACAGAAGCTGCATTTACATATTAACTATGTGACTAAATAGTCTTCAAAAAGGTAGATAAAAGTAAGTTCAAGTATTGGGACAACAGATGAAATCTGAATATGGCCTGGAGATTAGACAAAACCCTCGTATCTCTGGTATTTTGCTAATTTTGAAAATTTCAGAGAATATTATTGTTGACAAAAATCATTGAGGTAGGGGCTGGGGTTGGGGCTCAGTGTTAATGAGCTTGCCTGGTATGAGTGAGGCACTGGGTTCGATTCTCAACACTGCATATAAAAATAAATAAAATAAAAGTCTAACAACAACGAATAAGTTATTTTTAAAAAAAATCATTTGAGGTATTTATAAGCAAAGGATTGTTCTGACTGCCACTTACTTTCCTAGGACTTGGAAATCAAGTATACGGAGCGGGAGGGGATGCTCAAAAGGTAAAAGCAAGTGGGGGTGAATGGTGATGTGGAGGAAAGGTAAAAGGGAGCTCTCTT